TCGGAGTCTGCGTGGTTCGTGGGACAGGCACCGCTGTCATAGCGCCTCCTAGCCGCCATCACTCCCCTTGGCCGCGTGGCTGCCATGGTGACGGCGAGCCCTGTGCTGCTCCCAGCCCCGTCAGTGGGTGGAGACATTGTCCCTGCAGCGCCCCCAGCCCGTCTCTCGTCCGTCAGCCGGGCTGCACGCTCGCTTACCTCACGGTGCCCCCTCAGCCCCTTCTCCGTGTCTCCTTTCACCTCCGCGCCCCTGACTGCTTCTGCGTAGCTCCTGGAGGCGTAGACGGTGCACACCAGTGCCGACAAGTCTCACGGTAATTCCCCTTTTCCTCACAGTGCACCGGCACCACCGAGCGAGTCAATTCTGACTCCTAGAGCCCCCATGTGACGTGCTAGAACCGCCCCATGGCGTTTCCGAGGCTTACCCTTTTTTTTTTTTTTTAATTGTGCTTTAGATGCAAGTTTACAGAGCAGTCTGTTTTACATTCACCATTTCACGTACATTGGCTTTCACTCCCCAATCACCAGCCCCAACCCTAACCCGCTCTCCTCGCCCCCAGCCCAGTTGCCCTCGCCCCAGTGCCCGTCACGGTTACGCACTCCTGTGTGTCCTGCGTGTCCTCCGTGCAAATGTCCCCTGGTGCCCCGTGGTCGATTGCTCCAAGGGCTGCATCTCCAGAGAGCGTGTGGGTGCATCACCCAGGGTTGAGTGGTCTGCGTGTACATCTTATTTACTCTTGGGCTGAGAGCCAGCCTCTGGGAGTGAGTTTTATTCCAGGCCCAGAATGCATTCCAGGGCCGTAATATCGGGGTCTCACCAGACTCCACCCCACCAGTAATTCTGGTCATTACTGAGTTTTTGGATTTTGTTCCACGTTTTCCCTCCCACTCTATCCAGGATCTCCAGATTTGATCCTTTCCTGAGTGGTTGGCATTGGCAGCCGGGCACCATCTAGTTCTTCTGGTCTCAAGGGCCATTGTGTCCTAGGGCTGACTGCTTCTAAATGCCCTTTTTTTTGCACTCTTCTTCACTTCTGATGATAGGAGACTGTTAGCTGCATCTTAGATAGCCGTTTAAACGTGTTTAAGACCCCAGTCACTACTCACCAATGTGGGATAAGGAACTTTTAATGAATTTTATGTATTTTGTTGTACCAGTTGAGTCCGATGTCCCCCAGCACTATGGCCCTAAGTTGGTACATCCGTTGGATCTCTCTCCCACAGTGTCTGGCTGGCTGTGAGGGATTACTTTACTTCTGTCTTCTATTGTTTCTGTAAGGCTTGTGGGTATTTTGTATCACTGGTGTCTGTGCAAGATTAGCCTGTGCTGAATCTACCCTTGGTCTAGAGTGTACTCCTGTTCACTGGCCCCCATCTGATCTACTCAGCTATTTATGTGTTTATCTGTAGCCTGGTGTTTGGTGTTACTGGTAATGCAGTATTGTGGACACACTGGTTGCTATTAGCATCTGTTGTCTATAGCTTCTGTGCACAATGCGGTGTCCTCCCTTTCTCTAATGCTATCATGTGGTCACAGACTCTTTTATACCATCCCTCCCCTTAACCCACGCCAGCGTGTGGCCCCCACCTAGCCTGAAATTAATCCCTCCCCTCCTGTCCACACCCCAGTAACCTACAAAGTGAGTTTCCTTTCCCAAGCAAACCCTTCTCTGTCTTTTTACAGTAATGGGCTCATACAGTATTTGTCCTTCTGCGATTGATTTATTTCACTCAGCATAATGTCCTCCAGGCTCGGCCACGTTGCGAGATGATTCGCATATCCCTCATTGTTCTTAAATGTGGCATAGTATTCCATTGTGTGAATACACCATAGTTTTGTTATCCACTCATCCATTGATGGGCGTTTAGGTTGTTTCCATCTCTTTGCTATGATGAATTGCTCTGTGATGAACATAGGTGTACATATGTCTGTTCGTGCCCTGTCTCTCACCTCTTTAGGATATATTCCTAGTAATGGAATTGTTGGGTCAAATGGTACTTCTGTTTTCAGTTTTTTAAGGAAACACCATACCGTTTGCCACAATGGTTGTACCATTTTACAATCCCACCAGCAGTGCACAGAGTTCCAATCTCTCCACAACCTCGCCAGCATTTGTTACTATCTGATCTGTTGAACTTTGCTATTATTGCAGGGGTGAGATGATACCTCATCCTTGTTTTGATTTGCATCTCTCTAATGACTAATGATCGTGAGCATTTTCTCATGTGTTTGTTGGCTGCTTGTATATCATCTTTAGTGAAGTGTCTGTTCAAGTCTTTTGCCGATTTGTGAATTGGGTTATTTGTCTTTTTGGTGTTGAGGCATCGAAGTTTTCTATAGATTTTGGAGTAAGTCCTTTATCAGATATGTCACAGGCAAATATTTTCTCCCAGTCTGTAGGTTCTCCTTTTATTCTCTGATGAAATCTTTTGATGCACATAAGAATTTAATTCTTAAAAGATCCCAGTCATCTAGCTTCTCTTCTACCTCCTGTCCTTTCTGGGTTATGCATGTCTATTTATGCTGTAAATTAGGGCTCCTGGATTGGCCCCTATTTTATCTTTGATGAATTTTATAGTTTTGGGTTGTACATTTAAGTCTTTGATCAGCTTGAGTCTGTCCTTGGCTGCCTCCAGATGCCCTGCTCCCCGCTCACACACAGACATACCCATCTGTGCCTCTCTAATCCACCTAATAGCTCTAAAACAAATACGACCACGTCACTAATGCTTTTAAAACCTCTGTTGCCAATAAGATAAAATCCAAACAGCCTAGCTTAGCCTCAACTTTCTTCATCATCTGGCCCTGTGTACCACCCAGCATCCCATCCCCCATCTTGTTCTAACCGCCACGTAGCCTATTGTTGTTGGGTGCTAGCTAGTACATTCCAACTCATAGCAACCCGTGGGACAGAGTGGAACTGCCCCACAGAGTCTCCCAGGCTGTCAATCTTCACAGAAGCAAAGCCCAAACCACACCCACTGCCGTGGAGTCCATTCGGACCCACAGCGCCCCTAGAGGACAGAGTGGAACTGCACCACAGGGTCTCCAAGGCTGTCATCTATGTGGGAACAGATCGCCTCGTCTTTCTCCTGCAGAGCTCCTGGGGTGTTTGAACTGCCAACCTTTCAGTTAGCAGCTTAGGGCTTAAGTGTTGCACTACCACCTATCCTATTCTCCACGCCCACTCCGTTTCTTCCCATTCTCTGATGGCTTCTCTTCCCTTTTTCCTCATCTTGTCCTGGGCCATGATCTAACCCACTGTCCAGTCTCCAGTGAGGTCTCTGACCCGCCCAGACTGCCCGCCTTGCTCCTCTCTGTCCCCTTGCACTCTGTTTCTGGTAGTTCTTTGTTCACAGCTAATGTTGTTGTGTTCTGTAGCCATCTGTTAGACATCTGCACCATGGAGCAGACTGGGAATTACTGGTCAGTAAGGCCCTGTCTTGTTCATTATCCGTCCCAGCGTGTGCCACTCAAAACTCAACTCTTTGCATGAGCTGATACCAAGGATGGGGGATGGATTGTAGAAAGTTTCCACATAAATGGTTCAAATAGGAAGAAACCCCGATTGTTTAAAATCTGAACTTTACCCATCTAGAAAATTCAGTTTTACGACACTGTGCGTTTTACCAAACACCAGAGGAAGTCTGTGTTGTTAGAGGTCTTTTATTTCACAACAGTGGGTGAATGATCACCCTCTTGCCGGGCATGCCCGAGATGAACGCCACCGTGTTGTGGCAGATCTGGGTCGATTTACTGCAAGAGCCCAGGAAGAGCCAGTTGACCTCCATGGAAACCCTCTTTAGGAAGTAAAGTATCAGATTTGTCCCAAGACCTCAGCGTCAGCTGGTTTTCATTTTTCTGCACGTCCCTAGAGAAGAACACAGTGGGATTCAAATTTCAGGTACTCGTCCATCAGCGGCGATCATGTTACGCAAATAAATGTCCCTTTGCTTTTCACACTGTCATTAAGTTAGTGTGACCCTCATCTGGACATCTGAGGAAGGATGGTTGCCGCGTGAGAACTTAGAGCTCATTTTTCCCTGTTGCTTTTAGGGAACAGGCAACAAGAAATAAAGCTTCCAGGGTCTTCAAATAAATTCATTTCTAATTCAGATTCATCCCAAAGTAATGTCAGTCTCCCATTAGATGTAGAGCATCAAACGCAAGCTTGCGGCGAATCCAGCGTTTGTGCGGGGCTCGCACTCAAGTGGGAAGTTATATTTTCCTCCAGTTTATTAACAACTCACCATCCAAGTGGCATTTAATATTTGGAACCAATTATTATGTTGCATATCTTCATTGATAAATCACAAGCTGAAATTACGTATCCCTTTATAAAATCATGTATTGTAACTGTAATAGACAAAAGTAAAAGGAGGGGAGATGGCAGGACTTTTAACAAATTTTGGCAATGACTTTTTTTTTTTAATTTGGATATTTCATTTATAATGTTAAGAGATTTTTAAGCAACATAGAAATTAATTGTGTAACGTTACATGTGTGTTTACTAATGGTATAGTGAACTGTTGTTAATTCATGTTAACAAGGGAGGATCTTTCTTAGTTAATTTATGGAAGGTAAACTTGAAAATTGATAACATTTTTAGAATATCATACATTATAAACATGGATTCTCAAGGAGATTGTCCAAGGGGAATGCTTCATACTTCTTAAGTATCTACAGGAAATTGAGTGAAGTATAGAATTAAGTGCTGAAATACTGGTTTTGGTATTTAAGAAATTAAATGTTATCCAACTGACTGTTAGGAGCTCTGGTGGCGTAGTGCCTAAGGTACTTGACTGCTAACCAGAAGGCTGGCGGTTCAAACCCACCAGCCACTCCTGGGAAGGAAGGTTGGACAATCTACTTCCGTAGAGATACTGCCTCGGAAACCCAAGGAGGGGTCGCTATGAGTCGGTTCGACTCCACGGCACGTAACAACAACAAGCTTCCTATTGGGAAGAAGGTTGACTGTGCCCCATTTCTCTCTCTGCCAGGAGCTGATCCCCGAGTTCTACTACCTGCCCGAGATGTTTGTCAACAGTAACGGGTACCACCTTGGAGTCCGAGAAGATGACGTGGTGGTGAACGACGTGGACCTCCCCCCCTGGGCGAAGAAACCCGAGGACTTTGTGCGGATTAACAGGATGGTGAGAGAGTTTGCTTTCCTCCGAATGGTCATCAGCAAGTTCCGATACTCTGTAGTTTTTTGTTTTGTTTTTTGAATCGTCCCAAATCACCCTGTCACATCTGTAAAGGAAAGGCTGCAGATTCAAGGGAGGAAAAGGCATGCATTTTCTGTTGTATTTGAATAGCATTTTACATGGTGTAGGGTGGGTTTCCTTTATGAGGACAGAGAGAGGAGCGAGGAGTGGCACTGTGGTGAAGTGCTCGGCTGCTGACCGAATCATCAGTGGTTTGAACGCACTTCCGGCCCCACCGGAAGCATGGAGTACATACACCTTTCTGCAGTCTGTGTGTTTTATGTGAAGGGTACATGCTTTGGTAATGCGTGCGGCTGAAAATCTAGGCTTGCTTTCAGAATTGACTGGGCCCCTGAATGCCGGCCATGGTGTCACTGCACGGCCTCGCAGAGTGACAGACTCAGCCCGGGGACCCAGCACGGCTCTGAGTCTCCGTCACCACAGGGCACAGCGTCTCCAGAGCCCAAGACGCTGCCTGACGGTCGGTCGTGGTCAGAGGTTACTGGCCGCGTGGAGGAGGGAGGGAGGGTGCCATGGAGGAGGAGGCCACCGTAGTGGTGTCACCACGTGGTCGGGTGGTTCCCAGCCGGTCACACCGCGTGAGTCCGCCAGTCAGCGGAGCAGTCACGACTACCCGGGTCCGATCCTGCCGCTCGTGCTGGTGGCGGCGCCCATCCGTGAGGGCCTCCTGCGTGCACGCCATTAGGCTCCACTTGATGCTAAGTTCTTTCCGGTCTGTGAGGGAGGTGGTCGTATAGCCACCTTTCAGATGAGAGGCGGCAGGGTCCGAGGTGTGCCTCCGCTTCCCCAGGGCCCTGAGCTAGTCGGCAGCAGATGCGGAGTCCGGGGCAGAAGTGTCCCCTCCCACAGCCACACCCTCTTTCTGTACAGCCACCGGGGATGCTGGGGAAACTCGGAGACTGTGGACCGTGTCTGTGGGCTCATGGTTTCCTACTACGACTTTATTCACTCCTTGACTGAGTTTAAAGCATGCTGGAAACCTGTAAATGCCGGCAGTCCACCTAAATACAGCAAGTTCAGCAACCCGAGGTGGGTGCGAGGAAGACTGAGTCATTTCCTCTGTGGGACGAGTTGGGCTTGTTAACTGAGGGCACACGAGGCAAGTTTGTGACGTGGTTTCGACTTCAGGATAAGCCAGCAGGCGGGCAGGCCATTGGGCGGCTCAGTGCTGTCCCCGCCTCCCGGATGACGTTTCCTCATAGCCACGCCTCTTCCGGTGCACCAAGACCACGAGCTCTGTGTGCCCTTTAAGAAAGGGATTTCCATTCTCTTTTAAGACTGCACGGTTGAGAGGGATGTTTTCAGGTCAGGGACAACGTTACTGTCACCCAGCAGAAGGACTGTGTTAAAAAGAAGTGAGTCAATGGCCTGTCTTATAAACTGTGCGCAACACCTTCTCTCCAATGTCTAGATGGGGGTGCAGTGAACCACACAGTATTGTGGAAAGCAGAAGGGCGTTTGGCATTAGGATTTTCAGACATCCCAGTGTCCGAGTGAGCTTCTCACTGAGGTGATTTCAATAGTTGTTCTTGGTGCCAGGTGCTGTGGAGTCGATTCTGACCCACAGCGCCCCTAGAGGACAGAGTGGAACTGCCCCACAGGGTCTCCAAGGCTGTCAATCTTCACAGAAGCAAAGCCCAA